TCAGGAATGTCTGAGTGCAAGTGTGTGTCCCACCTCCAGGGAGAAAGATAGGAGTTTCCAGAATCCTCAGGAGAAGGCCAGGCCCACACAGAGGCATCATTGGCTATGACCTGCTTGATAGGCTAGACTCCACCCCTTCACAAAATGACAGATTGTGTAACTGCCACAGTCTTCTTGATTTCCTGGTACATGACTTTGACCTCCACAACCTTTCACAGGAAGCAACAATCAAGAAACCAACGATGCATTAAAACTCTAAAACCAAACTCACTGCCATTGAGTCAATGTTGATTCATAGTGACCCTATGGGACATGGTGGAACTGCCCTCTTTCGAGTTTCCAAGACTGTAACTGTTTGGGGGAGTAGAAAACCCTGTCTTTCTCCTGAAGAGTGGCTGGTGGTTTCAAACTGCCGACCTTGTGAATCGCAGGCCAACACATAACCACTATGCCGCCAGAGCCCTGATGATGCAATGCATTGGGTACACTTGTTGCACAAGATTTCTTTAAAGTGTTGAAGAGCAAGGATGTCACTTTGAGGACAAAAGTGTACCTAACCTAATCCGGGGTATTTTTCAACGGCCTCATTTACCTATGGACGTTGGACATTGACTACGGAAAACAAAAGAAGAATTGATGCGTTTGAATAATGATGCTGGAGAAGAATATTGAAAGTTACATCGCCTGCCAAAAGAACAAAGAAATCTATCTTGGAAGAGATACAACCAGAATGTTCCTGAGAAGCAAGGATGGCTTTGGACATGTTATCAGGAGTGACCCGTCTCTGGAAAAGGACATCATGCTTGGCAAAGTAGAAGAACCACAAAAAGAGAGGAGAACCCTCACGGAGAAGAACTGACCCAGTGGCTGCCGCAGTGGGTTCGACCACAGCAACAATTGTGAGGCTGGCACAGAACCAGGACCTGTTTCGTGCTCCTCTAGCTATAGGGTCGCTGTGATTCACAACTCGCTGAATGGCACCTCACTACGATAAGATCATCTTCAGCCTACACTGCTTCCCCTGAGCTCCAGGCTTACACCGTTAACCACCTACCATCAAGCATCTTCTCTGGAGCCCTTGAGGTGTGGTGGTTCCATACAGGCCAACACTTGAACCCTGCAAACCGGTCTGTCAGAAAAGGGTGAAGATGGCATGGAAGAGATCCCCTCTGATCCCAAACAGATAAGCGCCCTGGGTTTGGGGAAGCCACTCAGATGCATGAGAACACTGTGACTGCAGCATCCTTTAGCGCCAGGGTGTCACACTCCATTAGAACGCGGGCCGTTTGGTGCAACAGGCAAGATTCACGCGGGCCACATCACATTTACAAATTTTGCTAAATTTATATTTTGAAGTGAGAATTCAGGAATATGGATAGGATAATTAAAATACTACATAATTTCTTATATATATAGGATAATTAACATACTACATAATTTCTTATATTGAACATTTATTTTATTTTAATGTATTTATAAAATTAAAATTATTCTTTTTTACCCAAAACTTGCCAGCGCTTTCCTCCTACTAGTTTTCACTTACCTCTTATGTTGTGACTGGAAAATATAACAAAGTCACTAATAAAAAACAAAAAATGTTGGACAGCTGACAAACGTGATACACGATCATAATGGCTTCCCTCTAAAACTGTTAACTAGTGCTGCCGCTAGGTATGATTCATAACAGCACAACCCAGAGTGCTCTTTTAACCTTTTCGCTATTGGGATCTATTTCCATTATGTGACACTGAGAGTGGCAGACATATCACTTCCACACGTCGCCAGAACTGAGTCAGCACGTTTATACACGTCCACAGGCCCCCATGAAAGGCACTGGACCACATGTATACTCGTCTTCAGTAGTTAAAGGGTTAACGAGGGAATTGTGTGTACGGTATTGCCTTGATCTCCCCTAAGCGCTATCTTCTTCATAACAATTTAAAATTTTTTCACTTTATTTCAGAGCATCGTGGGCCACAAAAAATTACCTTGGGGGCCGCATGTGGCCCACAGGCCACCAGTCTGACACCCCTGCTTTAGGGGAAGGGTAAAGATGGAAACAGAACACTTCAGACGTGTATAGACTAAGAGGGAAACGCCATGTGTAGAAACAATAGCTTCACAGTTTGCTATTTCTATTGAATGAAAGTTTCAACCATTCTTTATAGCAATACTTTTTGACTCACCCTCATCAAAAGAAGTCATCACGCAGAGGCAGTGTTTCTAGTAGGAAAAGAGGGAGGGCTGGCATCCATCCTTTTCGGGACACCATCGTGTTAGGAATGGGAGCATGGGGAGGAATCTTTAAACGAAATGGAGAAGGAATAGCTAGAGGCAGGGAGATCAGGAGGATAAAAATGAAAAGCAAGGAACAATAATGGTTCCAAGAAGGAGTATCAAGAGCCCCCATACATCATAGAAACTAGGTAGGTCATGATAAGTGCCCACTGGGTTTGTATTAGAGCAGTGGTTCTCAATCTGTGGGTCGCGACCCCTTTGGGGGGTCAAAAGACCCTTTCACAGGGGTTGCCCAATTCATCACAATAGCAAAATGACAGTGATGAAGAAGCAACGAAAATAATTTTATGGTTGGGGGGTCACCACCACCTTAAGAACTGTATGAAAGGGTCTCGGCATGAGGAAGGCCGAGAACGGCTGCATTAGCGGGATCTCTGGGAAGCATGAGTGGTTTCCATGGAGTGGTGAGGACAAGCCGAGTAGTTGAGGAAGTAGAGAGAAAGGGTGGGTGAGTGATGCTACCGCTGCTAAGCACAGAAGGAAAAAAGAAGAAAAGCGCTGGAAATGTCAACACAGAAAGACCATTACATTGTTTAAATCTTAGGGAAATGGGAGGGATAGAAGTGATGCTGATCATAATCCCCAGGTGTGTGGATTCAGCCCCTGAGGGATGTGAACAGCCGGGGCACCTGTAGAATGCACTGAGAAGTGGACGGTTGCAGATGCAGTTAGGTTAACATTCAGCACCCTATTATTTGATCTCCCTTATGATCCATCGACATGTGTTCTCGTTTTTAGCGTTTTCTGCTTTCTTTTTGATCAGGTGTTTAATCGGTTTGTTACTCTTGGTAGTTTGGTCTGTTTTTTGAAATGTTTTTCTGCATATGAAATCCAGGATAGGTAACTCTGTAGAGATAATAACTGGATTCATGGGTCCTCTGGGGGGTGGCAGAGAAGGTTGGGGCAACGGGAAGCTAATAAAGGTGAGTAAAAGAAACTACAAGAACCAGTTCTAAAACTGATTGTGGTAATGATTGTACAACTCGATGTGATTGAACTATTGAATTGTATGATGGAATTATATGCCAATAAAACTGTTGAAAAAAATCTCCATCACCTTCTGTGAAATTGTAATGAGCTCATTTTGTTTCCGCACGTATCATAGTATCATCTAATGTACTTATTTGATAAGTACTTATTTGATAAATATGATACATACTATATTTAACTGTCTCTATTCCGTTCAGAGCTTTTTGTTGATTTTCTTAATTTATTTCTCCCAAGCATCTTTCTAGTCTAGCACCTGACACAGTAAAAACAAAACTAAACCCACTGCCACCCGTCTATGGTGACTCATATTGACCCTATACGGGCAGGGGGGAACTTCCCCTGTGAGTTTCCCAGACTGTAACTCTTTAAAGGAGTCAAACGCCTTTGAACTGCTCCCCTTGTGCATTACAGCCCAACTCGTAACCACTATGCCACCAAGGCCTCCTTTGGAGCTCGCCAAACATTGTGTAATAAGCTAACAGAAGAGCAAATTTTATAAAAAGGTAAGGGAGGGAACAGGATCCAGAATACAGCCAAATACAGTTCCTGCCCTCTCAGCGCTTATATTCTAATCATGAGATCAACTCCCCAGGGTTCTGTGGCTTTCTGCCTATTAGGGACACAGGGAAGAGAGTGATAAAACGCCTGGGTTCCCAGTTGGATGATGGAGGATAAAAATGCCTAAAATACTTGGAGGCTCTGCCATTCCTTTGATAATGATGGTTCGCGTCCTGTCGCCTTCCTACTTTGTTCGGAGCCATGATTCAGCGTCAAAATATCAATTTCATCAGGTGTCTGTTTTATCCTTGAAATAGATTAAAGACAGGTTTAGGTCTTTGTAGCTTGAGCGAGAGCCTGGCACACACTCGGAAGGAAGCTTTCACGAGGAGCATGACTGCTTTTTTTGTTTGTTTTTTAAAAGATTTAAAAACAAACTTTTTTATTGTGAATTGGGTGAAGGTTGACAGAGCAAATCGTTTTTCTATTCAACAATTCATACACATTTTGTTTCATTTTACTGATTGCAATCTTTAAAATGTAACAATTTATCTTACTTTTTCCTGATTTTCTTGTTTCCATTCTGTCTTTTTCTCTCATTTTTCTTAATTTTGCCCTTAGATAAATTCTACCC